TCGCCCCCCCTTCCCCCAGTCTTTTTAAAAGTAAGATTCAGTTCTCATTATTCAGCAATGCTGCACTTGATTTTTTAATCAAGTCTTATTAAGAAAACAGACTGGGAGAAAGAAATACTAATTAGTCCTAGTTTCACAGGAAAACAGGTTGAGAAGTAAAAGGAAGCATTTAATGATTTAATAGTAAAAGTTATAAATCAAGGTGTTGTGGGTGAACCCTGGTAGGGAGCTAAGCATCACACGGCTGCTCATTCACTGCCCCTGGGTGGGCTGGGGGAGAGAACTGGAAGGGCAAAAGTGAGAAAGCTCATGGGTCAAGATAAAGGCAGTTTAAGAGGTAAAGCAAAGCTGCACACACAAGCAAAGCAAATTATGGCATTCATTCGCTACTTCCCATCGGCAGGCAGGTGCTTAGCTATTTCAGGGAAAACAGGACTTCACCATGCATAACAGGTACTTGGGAAGACAAATGCCATAACTCTGAATGTCCTCCCCTCCGTTTTATTGCTGAGCATGACATTCTATGGTAGGGAACATCCCTTTAGTCAATTCAGGTCAGCTGTCCCGGCAGCGCTCCCTCCCAGCCTCTTGTCCACCCCAGCCTACTTGCTGGCGGGGGGAGCAGAGGGAGGAACAGAACGCTTCGGCTCTGTGTAAGCACTCTTCAGCAACAGCTAAAACATCAGTGTGTTATCAACAGTTTTGGTCCCAAATTCAAAACATAGCACCATACAGGCTGCTATGAGGAAAATTAACTCCATTCCAGCCACATCCAGTATGTGAGTTCATGCTACAAAAATAATGTCTGAGAAAACATGCAAAGACCATACCTTCATTTCAATCACTGTTTGAAGAGCCTTCGTCTTCGCTGGCTCAGGCTGAAGTTGGGTTCTTCTATGTAATTCCTGTGGAGGGACACGATAGAAATAAGCCTGACGACTCATCTTTCCATTATTCTAATCACTCATGTGAATTTATTACAACAAAATAAAAGTCTGATGATTAGAAGGATGTAACTCCAAATGCTACAGGTGCTTCCCTCTCTATAATCCCTCTAGCATCACTGCAGTCCCTATCTTATATTACAGTCAACTCTGACGGCACATGCGCTATTTCTGAAACCCCTATCAATAATTAATGTCAACGGTGACAAAGCCAGCAAGTAATTTCTCAGTCCAAATACAATGCTGCTGTTTCTGCCTAAACATCAAAACTTAATTAATTCAGTTGTGTTACTAATTCAAACACTGTTAAGTAATTTAAAATCTTTTACTGTAGTTTCTTCTTAGTTTTTCCTCCAATGTCTGAAATAAGCAATTTAAAGACATTATATTTAAATTTGACATTTTAAGGATAATAATTATATAGTGGGTTGACGCAGCACCCTCTACAGTAGCAATTACATTTCAGTTTTCACATTTTCCTACTATTTTTTATGCATCTTAATCCACAGGTAAAAGAAAAATAGATTGCATTTAGTTAAGACATACAATTAACAGAATTCATGTCTACTGGTCTTTATAAAAAAAGAGGATAAAGATGGCAGCACTCGGTCTCTTGTAAAACACAATTGTATCTCAGTATCGGATCTCTCAATAAAAAACTCACTTATCTACACAGAACAATGTAAAGCTGTAATGAAACATCATCATTTAAGAATTTGATTATGCTTATACCCATCACACAAACTATCTGAGCAGTTTAATAGGAAACACCACCAAAACAGGACAGATACAGTCCTGTTTCTAGTCCTTTAGAGTCCTTCCCCTCTAAAGGACAGGACTGCCATGGTAGACGTCTTTCTCTCCCTGTTCTTTCTACCCCCACGCTCCACATACACATTTTAACTAACTTTATAACCATGAAAAATACATTCATGCCTGGTAGGCTGAGAAGCTAGGTTCATTCACCACAAAGACATTAGCTGACTCCAGAACCCGAGCTATTGTGTCTTCCAAATTATGCCTCTCCTAGCTCATCCTCATAAACTGGGGGGGAATGACCATCAAAAAAAACATAGCACTGTGGGTTCTAATTATCTTTATTCCTATCTCTCAAATACACTTTTCTTGAGTGAAGCAAACAATACACAACTTGACAATCAATTGATAGACTAACAATGAAAAATATAATCAGCTATGATTGTGCACATTTATTATCCTGCCCCACCTCAGCCTATCCTAGCACATTTCTGGGTCTCACCCACCTAATAACCCACAAGCTTAAAAGTCATAATTTTTTTGCATCACAAACTATCAATCAGTTTCTTGTTCCATTTAGCAACAAGCATATTGCTTATCCATGACTTTGAGGAACAATCACTCTCTAAAGACTATAGTAGGAGTGATTTGGGGCATGATGTTAAATTAAAATCTACTGATAATAAACATCTTTATAAAAGACATGCAAAAAATTGTGTGGCCTAATATATTAAAAAATGAAAGAAGTTAGTCATGTGTGCTCCATTTAACTGAACATAGATTACTTAACTTGAAATGTAGTATGACAGGACATAATATCAAGACACCCATCCCAAAATTGTCAGGTTTGGCATGCATTTTTAGTTAAAATAAAAGAAGCTGTTCATAGGTAACAGAACATTTTATGTATACAGAAATAGATCAATACTTATGATCTGCAGGATTACAGTTAAGTAGCCAAGTTACAGTCAAATAGCTGGTAAATTAAGACCATTTAGATCACACAAGTTTGATCTCATTTTTCAGACTCCTCTGTTCATGATCTTAGCCCACAAACGTCTGGGGGCACGGGCAGTTTTTCATTCCCTGTTCGTGCCATAGCTAACAACGATACCTTAGTCAATGACTGAAGCTCTTGGGAACCCTGGCAATATAAAGAAGAAGAAAGGGTTGGATATGCTCTGTCTTGCCTACTCTATTTTGCCCACTCTGCTGCTTCCATAGAAGGGATGCACAAAAACATAATGGTTAGATAAACTGTTAAATTAGATTCTGACCTGAAATAGTCTACTGATATCTTGATAAACCACAGCACTGCCTGCAAGTGTCAGATTAGGTGCACGTGTTTGAATGCATACCTGAAGTTAAGTAGGTCTGCATGCTTTTTTATTGCATTAAATATATTGCAGGTATATCTATGTATATTTAAACTACCTCTAACATACGACAACAGTGAATTTCTAATTTTGCACTGGGCATTTATGAAAAAGTATATCTGAATGGTCCTTTGTCCTTGTTGTTTTTTTATTTACAACTAATTCTCCACATTATAAAAAGAAAGAAATCTTTGCTGATCACCTATACAGGGAATCTCTCAATCACCACCAGCTGTTTTGTCTCAGACAAAACAAGTACCTTCACTACACAAATGTTTTAAAAAAATAAGGGTATGTCATAGATTTGTCATATAGTTCTCCTACAAAAGTCATGGAAAAATAGTTGGCCAGTCATACCACTATCTGATCAGCAAAAATTACAGCTAATTCTAAGACCAGACTTTGCTCCCCAAGGCCACATAAACTGAGTTGGAGTATAAGCAGGATTCCACACATTACCCAGGGAGACAAACCAGAGTTTCCACCCCCTTAGCCAAAGATGAATAGACTGCCAAAGATGAGTATTCCTAGATGTCTATCATAGCATGAAGCCTTGCCTCATAATACTTTTCCTGTTTGCTTTATGAATCAATCTGATGCTGGCTGACTTAAAAGCTTTTCTTCTCTATCCCTGATGGTAAAATGAAGCAGACTTTAGGATTCTGGAGAAGATCAGAAAATGACTCCCACTTTATTATTTTGTGTGGGTTTTCTTCCAATCAGACTCAAACGTTTGGAGACTCCCACAAGGCTCAGTTCTTGAATTTTGTTGTTCTATGCACACATTTTTTCTTTTGGGGTACCTGATTCGGGGCTGTACTTTTGGGGTACTGATTCAAAGATACTACCACTGTATGTGCATGACACCTTACACTGAATGTTTTACTATCTGAAGTCATCTGGAGGGTTTCAAATTTGCCTGAACAGCTAACCAAGAGATATTCTGAACATTTCATGAAGTCCTTACAGCCTAAGGAAACCAGATTTTTATCCATTACATCATTTTTGGAACGATGTTGCTTTCTCTTTTTAATTTCTTTTAATAAAAAGCCCTGGGAGCCTAATAAAAGCCTTTAAAAAAAAAATAATCAGGGATAGTTTCTTTTAACCTGAACTGTATTGAATGGAACTCTTGATACTTATATGCATAATAAAGTACTTGTGCCATCACCTCTGCAGCCATCAAGGTCTATACTGATAATCGCTCAGAGATGTACTTTTATGAAATCACACTTTCATTATATTCCCTATATGACATCTGTATCACTGCAATTGCTAGTAGTTCTGAGTAACCACTTTGCACATACAAATTAATTATAATTCTGCATAATCAGATACCCACACCTGGGATTTCATGATGATGCTTAGTTGTCAAAATGATTAACACACTCACACAAAATTGACAACTAATCAGATCTTTTTCTTCACGTTAAATTTACTGTAATATTCTCTACTTTTAGACTGAAATGAGTCTTAAACCAAAGCTGGCCATTGCTTTCTCCTTCCACATGTTTCTGGGATATTATGGGCAGTATCCTGTGTAACTTCAGCACACAATTTTACCACTAATTTAAACATCAAAAAAATCCCAAGAGGAGGCAGTTTATATCGTATACTTCCTAAAATAATGGTGGAAGATGAGTCCTGTTCTTTTGTTCAGAAATCAATAAAAAGACCTTGCAAGGGTTTATCATCATTGACCGGTATTTAAAATCCGCACTACATAGCATAGCCTGAACCTAATACTAATTAAAACCCAAACAAAACTGCTTTTTTATCCCAGCTTTATTATAAGCCACTTCAGCACTTGGCTGCAGGAAAGCCAGGGTGCTGCAAACTGATGCTCCTTTATTCTGTTTCTGATGTATTTTACTAAGGTTCCTAAGACATCAGTGACTCCGTGTTGTTCTGATTAGATGAGATTGAGCTGAAACTCTTAAATAAAAGGCTACAACCAATGCTGTTAATGCAGTTCAAGGTTTTACCTTCTATTTGCATAAAACTGCCTAAAATAGCATGACACACAGTGCTAGAAAGAAAAGGACTTTTTCAGAAAAGTAGGCAATTTAGAGATAGTATCATGAAACTGTCAGTGAGTGCCTGCATTAACTGATAAGCTTCTACTGATTAAAGAACAGAAGGAAAATGGAATTGTAAACCAGAAGATTTTTAAAAATTAACAAAAAATTCAACATTTGTAAAAAATAAAGACATAATAGGAACAAAGACATCAGAATCAAATAACCATCAGAAGGAGGAAGATGGATGATTAAAGATGGCAGCAACTATACCTAAGGCAACATAAAAACAGGCATGAGAAACCATTGTGTCAGTAAATCTAGCTTCTTGAATTCCTAGGTAAAATGTAAAAATCTGTAAATCACAGCAGGCAACAGTATAGGAGCTGCTAGTTCTCTCAAACACCTCAAAGCAGACTGCTTCCATTCTCCTGGAAAAGAAAGCCTTGGTATTGCTTCTACGTGACCAACTTGTCTGAACTTTAAAATTTAAATCAGCAGTATATTAATATTTCAATCAATTATTTAAGTAAAAGCACAGCCACTTACCTAAAGCGTCTAAACAGTAGTGTTTCTTCAGCCAAAAATACCATTAGAAAGACTGATTAAATTCTATTTAACCAGAATACTACAAAAATGTAACATATCGGAATTAATTTATTCTTCACATATAAGCTTATCTTCTCTTTCTTGTTTTCTAACCCTTCACGTTTACCCACAGCCAAAATGGTATCATAGTAATTTAGAGGAAGGTATATTTACGAAATCCTAATCAAACTCTTTATCTTTCTGGAAACGATAAACTGACAAC